GAAGGAGGAGGAGGAGGAGGAGGAGGAGGAGGAAGAGAACACAGGAAGGAGGAAGGCAAGGAAGAAAGAGGAAAAGCAGGTGAGAGAGGAAGTTGGAGAGGAGGAGAAGGTGGGATGGCATATAGTGAGGAGAGGAGGTGGGAGAGAAGGACAAGCAGTGTGTGGGGAAGCGGGAGAGGAGGAGCAGCTTTGGTTAACAACAACTCCTGGGTCACTGAGTCCCAAATGTGCCCCAAATGTGCCCTCCCAAATGTACCGAGTCCCAAATGTGCCGAGTCCCAAGTCTGCCGAGTCCCAAATTTGCAGAGTCCCGAATGTGCCGAGTTCCATGCTAACCAAGTCTCCTACATTACCGTGTCCCAGGCTAACCAAGCAAGCCCCAGGTAATCCAAGGTCCCACCAGGTTGTCCCAAGTCCCAGGTTATCCCAGGGTGTCCCAAGTCCCAGGCTAACCAAGCAAGCCCCAGGTAATCCAAGGTCCCACCAGGTTGTCCCAAGTCCCAGGGTGTCCCAAGTCCCAGGTTATTGCAAGTTCCAGGTAAACCAAGTTGTGGATTACCGAGTCAGTCCCAGATTTACCCACCCAGGTAGACAAGAGGCGGTCTGTGCACCCAGCCATGCGACACGGTAATTCAGGAGAATAGCCAGGAATACCTGGAATAGTAAATATTTATTTAATTTTATTATTATTTTAATGTATTTAAAATTTTAAATTTGAAACAGTGAATATTAAGCATGAGGGTGGAGTGCGTTGTTGGCAGAGGAATGGGCTTATGCCTCAACACTGTTTTCTTCGTTTTTCACTTTTTTAAAGTTTTTCGAAGTTTGTTTTTTTTCTCCTTTTTTCTTTGAGGGGTCTGGCCCCTAACCTCATCGTCTCCAGCAGGATTCGAACACTGGATCTGTTTATCAGCAGTTATATTTGGGACCTTGTTTAGTGTACCATTCAGCTTCCAGGGCCAAGTCACACACCGGAACATTCTTTCTTTTTTTTTGTTTAATTAATTAATTTATTTATTTTCACACCTCAACATTTTGATCATCAACCTGTTCATAATTTATTAATTTATTGATTTCTTTCTCTCTATCCTTTCTTTCTCCCTATCCTTTCCTTCTCCCTTTAATAATTTAATTCGAATTTCGATTTGTGAAACATTTCTACTAATTTTCTAGCTCTCGCATTAGCAGAGATGTGTGTGGAACTCTCTCTGTTCACGGCTCTACGGTGGGGTGCAATGGGTTGAATACAATGCACTTCTTACCATGGGTAGTTTTTACAATGAGTGGTTTTTACCATGGGTGGTTTTTACAATGAGTGGTTTTTACCATGGGTGGTTTTTACAATGAGTGGTTTTTACCATGGGAGGTTCGCACCATGGGCAGTAACCATCGGGGGTTCTTACCATGGATTGTAACCATGGGGTATTTATTACCAGGGGTTCATAGCATGGGTGGTTCTTACCATGGGTGGTGGTGGTTACCATGGGTGGTTACCATGGGTAGTTACCANTATTTATTACCAGGGGTTCATAGCATGGGTGGTTCTTACCATGGGTGGTGGTGGTTACCATGGGTGGTTACCATGGGTAGTTACCATGGGGGGTTCTTACGATGGATTGTTACCATGGGGTATTTATTACCAGGGGTTCATAGCATGGGTGGTTCTTACCATGGGTGGTTATTTCTATGGGTTGACACAACTTCATAGCATGGGTGGTTGTTACCATGGGGGGGGGGGTAACCATGGTTTTTTTTTACCATGGGTGGTTATTTCCATGGGTTGATAACTTCATAGCATGGGTGGTTGTTACCATGGGGGGGGGGGGGTTACCATGGGCGGTTGTTACCATGGGTGGTTTTTACCATGTTTTTTTTTTACCATGGGTGGTTATGTCCATGGGTTGATAACTTCATATCATCGGTGGTTATTGCCATGGGTTGTACTGCTGGGCATAATGGACTCAAGTGGAGACGATGGACTTCAACTTCAAAATACGATGTGTGGAGAATCTCCCATATTCGAGTGCTGTTGACGTTGCTGAGCGCAGTAATCGACGTGGAGGATGGGGGCCCAGGGGGGGGGAGGAGAGGAGGGGAAGATTCTCCACATTGTTATCTCGGCATTTGCACATGGAACACGCATCAAACAAAACAACATCTGTGAAACTTTGGAGAGCGAAGGGGTTGCACGGCGCTTTGGCAGGGGAGGGAAAGGTGGAGGTGGGGGGGAGGGGCAGCGGAGAGAGAGGAGGGAAGGGGTGCAATGATTTAATGGTCCGAAGAACGGATAGAAGATGTATGCTATTGGTTCTAGAGACAATTCGTTCAGGGAATTCCATGCTGTGTATGCTGTGGAAATTCTTGAAAGGAGGTTGTGTTGTGTTTTTTCTGACTTTTTTTTTTTTGTTTCCGACTAGTACCTCCACCAGCATTGGAAAATAGGGAAAACTGGCAGTTTTTTCCCGAACTCCTAAAACATCGGAGGTCGCGCCCGACGACGGCTGCCATTGATAAATCTGATCGGAGGCCATCGTTTCATTGCGGCCTCCTAAAAGGTCGAAGGCCCGCCCGAGGCCTGCTATTTTCCACTAGTACCTCCTCCATTGTTGGGGAAATAGGGGGAACTGGCAGTTTTCCCAAACTCCTGAAAAATTGGAGGCCGGGCCTGACGACGGCTGCCAAGTTTTTTCAATTTTTGGGTGCGGGTGCAAGTGCGAGCTCGTGTCTTTTTGCCTGGCGCCGCCAGCCTTTTCCTTCGGTAGCCCAAGCCCCCCCTCAGGATGCGGCATGTTAAACCACCAGTACCTGGCCCAGCTATCGAGTCCGAGCCTCGGCCCACCGGTACGCCGATCCGTGCCGAGGCTCGGACTACCGGGCGCAGGCATCCCAAAGGTTGGAGTGAAAGGCACGAAAAAAACGGGAAAAAAAAACGAACAAAAAA